GGTGTGACAACTCAACTGTGTTAATTCTCCCAGTACCGAGTGAGAGTGGTAGTTAGCAGTCGTGCAAGTTCCGGCTTACTTGTCGATTGCTACAGCTGCTGGATCATGGAGAGAAACGGTATGTTTGGTTAACCTTAACTCAAGATTATGCTCGTATCTGTGTCAATCACTACTATGATCGTAAATAAATGTCGTGCAAGTTATGATCAGGTTCAAGACTTCAAGTTATATTCTGCATGAAGATGTTTACTCAATCCCCTAACTTCTGGTGCTTGACTTAACAAGATTCCCTGGCACCACCCACCATCCACCCAAAAAAGAAGAGAAAAAACATAGAATTGTGTAGATTGTCGGTGCTTGAATATACATTGTTTTATTACGAGTACATCCAATAATGAGATGATTGATCTGTGTAGATTAGGATGTTGACTAGTTTGAAGTTGAACTTGGCCGAGTAAAACGGGTATTAGACTTATGTCTTAATGTATACAATTCAAGACATAGATTCCCAAGCAGAAGTAGAAATGTTATTACATGGTAAGACGCTAGACATACTATCCTCCTGCTTTGCTGGATTCTTGAGGGAAGCTTTATGTCAAGCAATTATTGCTTAATAACCTTAAGTGATGAGTATGACTTAAGGCTTTCAGCTCCTTAGTTTTAAGCATGTTAACTCTGCTGTACTGTAGCAAGAAAATGGTGCTGTTGCTAGACCTACATTTGCCCATAAAGATCCTAGTTCCTACTTGGAATTTGTTGATTAATTTGGACTGTTCCTTACTGGTTAAATGCGAAGGAGACAGGATGATAGTGGCCATGGATTATCCGTAAATTAAGCTGAGCTGTTTACATATCCTAGTGGGGACATGTACATGCAGAGGAATTTGAAGGCTTGAATAAAACTATGGCTTTTTTTGTACTTTTATAAGAAAAGAAAACTATGGGTTTCTTGTTTGCGAATGACTGACACTCTTATTATTTGCAGTCATTGCTGTGTGATCCAAACCCCAACTCACCTGCAAACTCGGAAGCAGCTCGGATGTTCAGTGAGAATAAAAGGGAGTACAATCGCAGAGTGAGAGAAATTGTGGAGCAGAGCTGGACTGCTGACTGATTGTATAGACGAAAGATGTCCTTGCAGACCTCAGATGAAGAGCACCACGGCTCAGCTATGTTATATTTATGGATTGAAATTTTATTTTAATGGAACTCATTTGTTTGATCCTAGTATTCTGGTTAGGTTCTATTGCCTAATTGTCATTTGCTGCATTGCATTGACAACCTTCTGTAAAATATGGATGTGTGTTTTGGTTTAGAAATGCAAGGAACTTCCCATACGCATGGGAATTGGTTTTCATGTACTTATTTTGCTATACCTTGAAATTTTGAGTAGTTCTAAGTGGATCTGAATGGAGTAACACTGGTGGATCAGGATCTTTAACATTTTTATCCAGGGGGTTAATAAAAGTAAGGCTCTCCTTAGCCGTAACCGTTTGTAGCCATCATTTGTGTATATATACACTTGTGTATACTCAAGTGTATATATACACAATGATTATACTGGCTTAAATCTTGAAAAAATAAAGAGTTATTTTATGTTGTGAACTTTATTGGGCCATTTTGTGTTATGGGAAATCATAGGCGTAATTTGTCATAGTACTACAACAACATATACTAATGAAGTAGACAAGCTGATTTCGATAGATATGCAGATCGTTCTATTTTGTAGGTATCAACAATGATCCTTTGCATGTTCATCTATAGAAGCCTTCTCAAAAAAGTTGTTCAGAGAAGGTCGCAAGAAAATGACAACAAAATAATAATTGTCATAGTGGTCTTTTCAGTCTGCATTTCACAATAGGAGAGATGAATCATACATAATTCACTTGTCCATGGAGTTGATATTTCTTTTAGCAAATAGAAAAGTAGGGGAAAATGCATAAGTACCCCCCAGCCTATGCCCAAAATTCCTGAGACACACCTAGCCTTTACTAAGGTCCTATTACCCCCCGAACTTATTTTTTAGTTAATTGTTTACCACTTTTCGGCCTACGTGGCTGAGTCCGTGATTTCACCTATGTTAGGCGCGTGGGTGCAGCTTTTAGACAGCACTGACCAATAAAAATTGGTCATGTGTTAAAATAAACTTGGAAAAAATAAATATTAACTCAATTGTCTTCTTCTTTATTATTGTTCTTCATGTTTGGAAAAAAAACCTCCATTATCATAACTTAAATTGCTCCTAATTTCTTCGAAAAGCTAACAAAATAAAATCAAGAAAAAACTAACCTTTGAACTCAATCACGATTCTTGATGACTTAGAAGTAGGGGTGTACATAGGTCGGTTTGGTTTGATTTTTCATTAAAAAAAATCTAAACCAATTATGTCGGTTTATTAAATCTAAATATCAAATCAAACCACGCAAAGTCAGTTTTTTTGGTTTCGGTTTTAGTCGGTTCTTTCGGTTTTTTTCGGTTTTTTACAACTTAACGGTGTTTGAAAAAGAGATCAAATATATTTTCACCTACCTGTGTGATAAGCTAAACTTAAGAAACGTTAAATGAATAGAAATTTTCGTAAAGACGGTAAAATTCACATGAGTACAAAATATATATTTTTGAAATAAAATATATAAACATTGAAAACTATAAACTAACTAAAAATATATTAACAAAGTTATAATATTTTTTAATCTATAAATAAAATAAAATTATATTGAGTGAATGGGAAAGACGTGGGTCTAGCCAGACCCCTGACATCGGGTGACAAACCTTGATGATGGCAATTTCAAAATAAAAAAATAAAAAAAAATAAAAAATAAATAAATATATATATATATATATATATAATATTTACAAAATTTTACAAACCCAAATTTCAAATAAAATATATAAACTAACTAAAAATATATTAACAAAGTTATAATATTTTTTAATCTATAAATAAAATAAAATTATATTGAGTGAATGGGAAAGACGTGGGTCTAGCCAGACCCCTGACATCGGGTGACAAACCTTGATGATGGCAATTTCAAAATAAAAAAAATAAATAAAAAAAAATAAAAATAAATATATATATATATATAATATTTACAAAATTTTACAAACCCAAATTTCAAATAAAATATATAAACTAACTAAAAATATATTAACAAAGTTATAATATTTTTTATCTATAAATAAAATAAAATTATATATATAATATTTACAAAATTTTACAAGCCCAAATTTGAAATAAAATATATAAACATTGAAAGCTATAAACTAACTAAAAATATATTCACAAAGTAGATTATAAGTAATATTTTTTTATCTATAAATAAAATAAAATTATATATATAATATTTACAAAATTTTACAAGCCTAAATTTAAAATAAAATATATAAACATTGAAAACTATAAACTAACTAAAAATATATTAACAAAGTAGATTATAAATAATTTTTTTATCTATAAATAAAATAAAATTATATATATAATATTTACAAAATTTTACATGCCCAAATTTGAAATAAAATATATAAACATTGAAATCTATAAACTAACTAAAAATATATTAACAAAGTTGATTATAAATAATAGGATAGCTTTTTGAAATTTTGGAAAGTGTAAAAGCTACTTTTTAGAAAGTTGAAAAAGTGGGGCCCGGCGCGTGTTGAACAAAGCTTTCAACCTATTTGGTTTATATTGCCACGTAAGCCGAAAAGTGGTAAACAATTAACTAAAAATTAAGTTCGGGGGGGTAATAGGACCTTAGTAAAGGTTAGGTGTGTCTCAGGGATTTTGGGCATAGGCTGGGGGGGTACTTATGCATTTTCCCAGAAAAGTAGTAATATACTAATATGGCATAATACATATATTGGACTTTAAACTTGGCTTCAAATTTTAATTTTGACCTCTAATTTTCATAGTGCACAAACAAACACTTTGACTATCCAATTTTTTAATAAATAAACACGCGAGTCCTAGTTGGCAAAACGCGTGATGTGCACTTATTTTGCGCGCGTTAGGAGTAATTTTCAAGGCCCACAACAGTAAAAAAAATTGCTGAAATGACAACTCTATCCTTAATGAATCCCTTTTATATATATCTTTATATTTCCAAATCAAAATCTCATTTTTTTCCTCCTCTTTCAACCCAAGATTTTTTCCTCTCTTTAGAATGATTTCTACTCATATTTAGTGCAAATGACTTCTATATTTTTTTTGTCATTGTGGAAAAAGAGCTATAATGAAGTTTCTTGGTCTGCAAGCAATCCAGGTCGTTGGTTTCTTGGATGTGAAGATGGTCGGGTATGGTTCAATTTAAGACATCTTTTTTTTTGGTTTAAATTTTAGTTCTCAAGATTCAATTTTGATAGTGAATTTGTTCTTCTTAAACATGTTGGATGCAAGTTTTTTAGGTGGTGTGAACTTGATTGTACTGAACACGCTAGAATTGCTATTTCGGGATTACAAAAGAGGATTAAAAAACATGATGAAGAAAAGGAAAAGATTAGGAGGAATTAATTTTGATTCTTGTATATAAATTAAAATTAATTTTGATTTTTTTTAATTTCTAAAATCGACGTGTAAAATGTTTAATTAGTTGGTAGTCATTGAGTGACTCACTAATACACATTGGAGCGTTTGCATTTCATGCTCTTTGACTACAAAAATTGCGTGTTTATTTATTTAAAAGTTGGATAGTTAAAGTGTATGTTTGTGCACTATGAAAGTTGGAGGTCAAAATTAAAATTTGTCCAATATATGTATTATGCCTACTAATATAGTACTATATATAGCAAGAATAAAAGATATATGCATGTAACGATGCAAACACACCGCACTAGACTGCTAGACCGCACTTGAGGATGCTGGGTAGTAGGATTAAGAACCAGACAAATTCAAACAACCTTCCGTTGATTTCATGCTATTTGTTACAAAGATGAAAAACACAATTTGGAGGAAAAATAACTCGAACTAAAGGAATCAAAGATGCCCCAGGATGTCACTGCGATCTTAAATCAAAAGCTCATTCAATATACTGTAATCCAGATGATAATATCACAATGTATATACCGCAGGTATAATTACTTCCAAGTAATATTCAACTGCAAGAGCATAGAAGCCGTTGAGTAAACAAGAACACACTGTACGTCTTGCATGAATTCCAATACGAACAGACTAGACACAACTGTATGATGGTTCGGTAATTTTTCTTTTAAAAATTAAGAATAAACAAATGAAACACACCAAATCCAATATTGGAATGCACACTCCAGATTCAAATACTTCCACCTTGGCCTCTGATATGATTTTAAAAAGAAAAGCTTCCTGCCAAAAACTTTAGGTGCTAATCACTTCTGTTTGTGGAGCATCCTGTAAGTAATTTATAGCAGTCAGTACAACCAAAATGTGATAAAAAGGTAGAAATACAACTCATCAAAATGAAAAACCATATTTTGCCCCTTACCAGATTTTCTTTATCTTCTTCGAGGACTTTCTCTGAAATGCAGGCATCGACAGGCACTGTGAAATAAAAATACAATTAACTAACTTTTAACTCAGCTGAGTGATTTTTAACCTAAGAAGGTACACTCTTTAACTACCTTCTCCTTGAGCAGATATCTTTCCCTGTCTTTTCACCTTATCCTTATTTGGTTCTGGCTTAACAGGTTTTTCAAGTTTCTCTTTTGTGGTACGACCTCCAGTTTTGGGTGATATAGATTTCGCAGCTGCAGCAATTTTGTTTACAGAATTCCGGGTCCTAGGAGTGCTTCCAATCTTTGAAGGCTTCTGCTTGGTTGGTTCTTTCACTTGTGCAGCTTTAGTAGAGTCTTTGTTCAAGACTTTGGTTTGCAGTCTCTCAGTGTTCGCGACAGAAGAAGAGCTATGAACATCACTATCAGATGAACCTGACCCATCTTTAGGCACATGAGAACAAGTCTCGGAAACTTGCAACTGCTCAGAATTTTGGAGGATGTTATAGCTATCAAACAATTGTTTCACAGGCTCCTCAAGTTCAACAAGGGTATGCCGTTGCACATAAGATTTCAGCTCATCTCTCAGACGCTGAAGAGGCTGAAATGTTAGCAAAAAAGAGTCAAATACTTCCGATCATATTGGTTCGATTTACCAGCTACAAGAGCCAAGTTGTTTCTGAAACTGAGATTTTGTAACCCGCATTGCAATGGAGCCGAGCAATGATCTTATTAACTGAAATCAATAATTTAATCTTAAAAATATAGTCTTTGCTAAACGAAGGAAGCGAGCGAATAATAGAATATTGAAATCTATAGCACTAAGTCACTACAAAATCTTCAGAGATTTTACTGTGGTTGAAAGGCAGATCAACTAAAGGAAGGTGTCATAGTAATATTTCAATGAGCTCACTATTTCTTCAATGAAGTGTTTAAATTCATGTGGGAGAAGATACAGTATCATACCTCAGAGCCAGCCTCCAAAGCAAGTTTGAAAAAGCCCAGGGAAATTGAATGCTTAGCAGTAGATTCAGAAAGCTTAATCTGTGATAACCAATAGGAAGCTGAGGATATAAGGTCATATTTCTTTCTATTTGAGGAATTTGAAACATTTGATTGTGGTGTATCCGATTTTCCTTGGTTACTAGGAGATCTCTTTGCTCTAGTCTCGGAAATGGGTTTCCCTATTTTCTTTGGTTCCTTGGTTATAATGCCAAGTGGTCTAGAAGCAGGGCTGGCAATTGACTTGGAGGGAACAGACAGCCTTCTTGGAGGCTTCGCTGATTTTTCCTTCCCAGAGAGGGGAAGAGCAGCAACACTCTTACTGACACTTGATGCAGGTCTTACCCTGAAAGACAAATGAAGCAGAGATTGATGTTAGTGCAGAATTAGGGGACAAGGCTTAGCAATTGAAATAAAATAAGAAGACTTGGAGGAAGTTGCATCTTTGACAGCCTCTGTCTGAAGTAGCTCTCATTAGTTCACTATGTTTAGAAGTTATTGGCTGTGGCTCTTAAAAATTATGACTTATTTCTTGTTACAACTTACAAGTACCAAAAATGGCCACAAGAAGTGAAACTCTTTATGTTCAAGTCCCTAAAATGAAATGCAAAAACTTCACAACTAAAAGTAAAAGGTGAGTTAATACATCACAACTAGCCAAAATCCAATGAGAAGTAAGCAGAGAATAGCCCGTATCAATATAAACAGAAAACTAAAAATTTCAACCACACACTGTCATTCAAATTTCGCTCAGAGATGAAGCTTCTACTGATTCTGTAAGCCACATACAGGTCAGAAAAAATTCTTCCAACCCATAAAAACGAAAGCTTCACAAAGCAAGTGATTTAAGGTTGAAAACTCCTCACTGAATAATATAATAGGTCAAACAGCCAACAATGATCATTGGATCAATAAGATTTCACCTCATTTCATATGGAAGAAGGTTCTATCTGCAAATTCATTGAATTTTTTCTATTTCCAATCAGTACCATATAATAAGTTATATCCTAATTGTTGAACCCGAACGAAACAGTAAAAGACCAGAAAAAAATTCCACTCAATTATTTATCTGCATACAAAGCAATTTCAATCCAAAATTCATCTTACGTATAATCTAATCAGCACATACATATATCAGATATCTAAATGAAGAAATTGCAGATTTACAGAGATTAAAAACCTCGCAGAAGCAGAAGAGTTGGAGGAATCAGTCAGAGGCAACTTCTCCTCCTTCGATTTAGAGGTCGATCGCAACGGATACCGCAGAAGCTTTGCTGATGATGATTGCTTAGCCTTTGCTGCAAATGAAAAACTCATTCACACACATATACATACAGATATATATAATCAATCATAGATTTTGCCGTAAAAAGCACATAGAAATTAACAGAGCGAATACCAGAAACAGAGGATTGATCTTTAGCAGAATCGTCCATGATGAATTCTAGGGTTTCAATAGACGAGAGAATTTGGTAAGTGAAGATGGATGATTGGGAAACTGAGGAAATTGTTGCTTTATATTCAGCGTCTGAGCGGGAAAGGTAGGAACTGCTTCAAAATCAAATCAAAAGTCGGAAATAATGGGAAAAAAAAAGTTGGGAATATTGGAACGGCTCTTTGGGTTGGGCCCATCTTGTGGGCCCAATACAGACTTTCAATTTGGGTTTTCAAATTTTGAACAATTCCTTACCGTTGATGCACATTGCTGACGGGCTGAGTTGGCGAATTCGACGCTCTTTTGGTCAAAATTCACAAATCTAATGAGAAATAACAAAGGTAATATACATGATAAGGATAAGGCTTTATAACTATAGTTTTGATAATTATATTAATAACTATAGTTTCGTGTGTTATAGAGGCTTCGGTTTGTATATTTCAATTACAAATGTACAAACAAGTTATACACAAATGGAGGTTACAATTTGTATAATTCACTTGCGAATATACAAGCATGGTAAGCATATACAAATTCTGTATTTATACATTTAAGATTTTTTCAAAACTGTGTTTGTATATTTTGCTTGCCAATATACAAATGGGGTAATTTATTATAAATTTTTCATAAATCGTATACAAATAGCTAGGGTAAGCATATACAAATTCTAAATTTATACAGTCAGGAACCGAATTATACAAATTCTGGATTTATACAATCAGGAACCGAATTATATAATTAGGAAACCGAATAGCAAAATTTCGTGAAACTATAGCCACGGATTAAAAATAATGAAAACTATATGTATATTACATTATATACTCTAGATGTTTGCCATTTTTGGCACGGAGCATAAAATAGTAGAACGACTTTTGAATCCTATGATTTTAAACTAAAAATGCGTGGAATGTATGTGTTTTAATCTTGCTGTCCGAAATTTTTTTCATGATTAACCTATCATGATCCTGGCTTATTATTACATGTTGTTTCGTGTTTTTTTTTTCTTCTTGTTTTTGAATTTTGAGCACATTTGTTTGACTTGATTTGCAAATAATGGTCTTTCAAGTCCGCTAATCGGGGTCTGTTTATGAAACAGAAAACACAATTAGAACTTTAATTTCAAGCAGAAGCTTTGATTTGAAGGCGTATATACTATTCATTCACACCCAAATTATATTACATTTTTGTTGCTGTTATACTTTTCATTTATTTTCTTTGGATAGCTAAAATGATAGTGTTGGAAAATTAAATTGGTTATATACAAATATTTCTTTCAAAACATTAAATGGTCGAAAGAAATATTGTTGACATTGAAATGCTCAATGTGAGAAGTAAAAGTTAACCAATATGTCATGACGTGAGGACAGAACAAGTTCAAAACACACCTTGTATTAGTGATTAGAACAATGATCTACAACACCCCATCTTAGATTTCTTAGAAATTTGCATGTTCTTCTTTTTTTATGACAAAAGGGAAACCTGTGGTGCACTAAGGGTAGAACTCTGCTCCTATGCAATAGCTCACAAACCACACAAGAGAGAAATCCACACTAGGCAAGCCTGGTGCGACCAGTTCGACCCAGAAGGCAAATTCATTGCTTTTGGTGACAAGGGGTTTCGAAGTTGAGATCTCCAATTTGAAAGTCTCAAGTTCAAACCACTGAGTCACTTTCGGGTGAAAATTGCATATTCTTTAGCCGTACATATCAAAACAACTGAATTTTGCCAAACTGGTAACTACAACAGTGGCTCTGTTCCCAGCCTAAGCTTTACTTGCTATAGTTATCACTTCAGTGATGGTAAAACTTGACACAAAATTCTCCCTATGATATCACATTGAATCATGAATACCATTATATTTCATTTTAAATTGAATTGTTAAAATAGGAATTAAGCACAAGTCTTCTATCCTACACTTCTATTTACTTGTACTAGATCAGTAACAACAAAAAACCTCACATTTCTCCCAGCTGATCAAAATTCTTCTACTGTTTTAGACACGATGAATGATGATCTAACACAATACACGAGACAATTGAGAAAAAAACAAAAAATGTTTGCGCAATTACTATCTAAGATTTTAAAAGTACATTTAAAATCTTCATCTACAACATATGTTCTTGAGAAAAAAATAAAAACAGAAATAAATACTTTAAAAACTGGTCACTGTTCTCAATCTTACACTCTTGGCTTGGCAGTAACTAAACGGGAAGTTGATATTTGAAGATTAGGTGGAACTGGAGTTTCATCTGAATGGCCTGAAATGCAGAGATTGCCATGATCATCCTGCTCCCAATAAACCTCAACCATAAGTCCTCGAGGATTCTCCACGGAAATTGTGCCTGGGATCTCCACATACTTTGATCCTACAGGTACCTATATTGCAATTGTAATGCAAATCAATAGAGTTTGTTTTTCATCTTTCTTGTTTAGTGGATAAGTGAAAACTTCCGATAGTGTAAAAAGAAATTTATACGGTCAGTGTATATGAGATAAATCCGTAACATAAATATAATTCCAAAGTGGTGCACCTACTTGAAGTGTAGTTCCTGATGGTAAAATCAGTGGCTTGATAGTTTCCTCTGATGCAGCCACTTCTAGCTCTGCCTTCTTTGCAATATTCAAGAACACTTCTTCGAGCGTTGAAAGACCAATTTGGATATTTAATATGCCAAACTCCGTTTTTCTGTTGTCTAGCTCTGCAAAGAAATTCTGATACAAATGTGCAAATAATATCAGGACACATAGTATTGAGTGATCGAAATACATGTTACGTTTTCTTAAAGCAACCTTGTCGAGGTACTTACTTCGAGTAGCTTCTCCTTCTCATGAGGGATGATGAAAGTCAAGAAGGATTTATCTTCATCTTTTGGTGTGACATCTATACGCTGTAAAACCAATTAATTCAGGCAAGAACACTTGTTTATACATTGAATAGAATTTTTAAAAGCTTAATTACTAGAAAGCACCTGTCTGAAGAACTCTTTGACAGCCTCGTGATGCTTGCTGTCTATCGTATTTTCCATGGCATTTACATCATTAGCAACTTTACTGAAGCTAATTTTAGCTATAAATCCAGCTCCGAATCGAGACTTCAGCAAGGTTGATGTTCCAATGCAACGAAGTCTACCCCTTGCCATAATTCCAATGCGATCTGATAAAATATCAGCTTCCTCCATAGAATGTGTCGTTAGAATAATAGAACGCCCTTGCTTTGCAGCCTCAATTACACTCCAGATATGTCTCCGAGTTATAGGATCCATACCTGTTGTCTACAAGTTGCATGAATTTACCTCAGGATTGAAGAAACAAATTGAACATTGATTATACTAGATTAAAGCTTCTAAAAATTGCGTACTGGTTCATCTAAAAAGAGAACTTTCGGATCTCCAATCAATGCTATTCCTAAACTGAGGCGACGTTTCATTCCACCACTGTAGCTTCCTGCTCTCACTTTGGCGACATCATCAAGCTTCACATCAGCCAACAATTTTTTAGCTTCCTGCCATTCAAGTAAATCGCAAAGTTTTTAGTGTGAAGTCATATGCAATAGCCAGTTGTTCAATCAAAGAGTCAATGAACAATTGTGGCAATCTATTTAGGATGCAAACATATATGACATGAATATAGGCCAGTGAAGTCACAAATATTTGGATATATTTAATCGTTTCACATTCTTTTACCCCAAGGAGTAAGGACGGTTTCAGATATACTTACTGATCTTTTTGATGTTGGGGATAAGCCTTTGATGGTGGCAAAAAGTTCAAGGTGCTCTTGTCCAGATAATGCATCCCAAAGTGTGTCAAACTGAAGTATGGCCACACAAAGTCAATGGAAGAAAAACCAAGCCAAGAAAGAGTGCAGAACTTGTTAGAATACTCAAATCGCTACCTGTGAGCAAACTCCAATCAGCTTTCTTATGTTGGAGATACCAACCGAACTTCGAACAGAGTTTCCATAGATTAGTGCTGTCAGAAATCAACATATATAAGTTAAGCAATTCATGCTCAATCAAAAGAGAACATGGTCTAAACTTGGAACTTTTAAAAGAAAAGCTATTACCATTTCCCCGAGTGACCGGTATTATACCAGTCAAGCAACTAATTACAGTTGTTTTTCCAGCTCCATTTGGTCCGAGGAGACAGAACAATTGATCCTTCTCAAGATTTAACCAGAGTCCCTGAATAAAAAGTGCCACTTTCATTGCAACGCATATTTCAATGAGTGCAATGATGAAAATTGAGAAATTTGCCAATGTTTTTGCTGTCTTAATATTGTAGCCTGCAGGGAAGCAGACTGCAGATATGCTTGATGAAAACCATGTGGATGATGCCTTCACTTATTTCAAGTGCAGATGCTAAATGATAAAACTCGAAAAAATGTGCATCTTATATCACGTCAAGGGTCAAGCCATCTTACTAGAAAGAGATGCACAAAAATCAACTATCAATCAACTAAGTCAACTGTGGAAGTCCAATATCAGATGATTTATTGCTAGGATAAAGAAATACTAATTTTCTCATTCAATTCAGCCAAATACTACTAACAAGCAAAGGAGCGTAGGAATATTCACCTGGACAGCCTTAAAGGGTTTCTTAATCTTGCATCTACAGTAGCAACAGAGAAGGCAACAAGAATGGCAACTAAAGTTTATTGTCCGAGAATACATCTTATAAAGGTCATGTAGTTGCACAACAACATTTGGATCAACATTGCCTTCCTTCACTTGTTGTTTCACCTTGTTTTCCTCATCAAGAACATCTTCATCATCTTGCGAAAAACTGTCATTTGGAGGCGCAGAACCAGAACCACAACATAGGGAATTTTCTGAATTTTAAAAGAATATAAAGCCTGGTTACTGAAGGATGTCAATAAAAATACTGAGGAAATAAGACTAATAAGTCAAAAATTCTGTAGTACCTTTAAACTTTTCTTCACCTCTTCCTGTCCAATATCCAGGTTTCAGAAAATAATAAAAGGGCTTTCTTACACCTGCTGAGT